CCCACAGACAGACGATAGGCCCTCACCTCACCCCTCTATTATCACTAGGAATGAAGCCTAGGCTAGTGCCGTGGGGTCTGTCTTCAGGAAATGCGCAACTTGGCTAGCAACTGCTGCTGTCGTGTTTTTTTACTAGCTAAGCTAGTAGGGCCCCTAGGCTGGGCCGGATAAACGCTCTCTCAGACTCTAGACTAGGCCTACATGGCCTAGGCTAGAGTAGAGAGCTGAGAGAAGTACCTTTAACTTTATTTTTAATAAGAAAACTAGAAATATACTTATCTTTTTTAGTGAATATGTTGTTTGATGTGTGATGAAAGTTACGCCTAAAATACCGCATAAAATTGAAAAGCAAAAACAAATCCCAGCACGGCACACAGTATCTTTTCTCGCGCTGACATTTTTTTTTAGCTGTTTCAGTTCAGAGCTAGCGTTGGGGTCATTCACGCTTGTCGCTGATTGGTCAGAAATAAAAATCCGTTCGGATTCACGTTTCCAATGGCTTTCTGATTCATTGCTCCGAATCCGGAGTCCGGGGAAAAAATCGGGACTGTGTAGATGTGAACGCTTCTATTCTTTACCACTAAAGCCATTTCTCACGATTTTTTCTCCGGACTCCGGACCGGAATCCGGGCTTGTGTGAACGTAGCTTTAGTCTTGCTTGGTATCGCATTTGTTACAATATGTAAACACACATCGTCACAAATATATGTAAATTTTTTATATTTACATATATATAAACATGTCTTCAGATGATATTAAGAACGAGATAGAACAGAGTGTAATTGAAAAATCGGAGCCTAAAAAGGTAACCTCTAGGTCGAAGCAAAAGGATTCAAAACGAATAGCCAGCGCCATTCATATGAATAAGGTTAGAGCTGAAAAGAAAAAGCCTTCTTCACAACAAGACTGTCTCTCTCTATTGGCTAGAATGGTTAATTTTAGCTGGTCTTGTTGGATATATTCTTTTCAACAGACCTAAAAATGTGGAGACAGCTACCTTAGAGCCAGACCAAAGGTTAGCTCCTTTAGAGTCTGCCCCCAATCCAAAACCTGGTAAATTCATATGTGAGAGACCTCACATAAATAATAAATTATTATT